TCTTCTTTTGGTGGTGTATAGTTGGGCATACCAACTCTTTGGCATATATGTTATGCATTGCTAGTTGCTGAATATTTTGAATCCTTATGAATAGTTACGACTTAATAATGCAATTTAATCCGATGCCTACACGCACAGACCGTTCTGTTGACCATTTCGTATGTTTTTGTCAATATTTTAACCGTGTTTATTTGATCTGGAGTCGAGCATATTTGGGTTCATTTATAAATTTTCCTGGTACGTTATGTTGCATTTTTAGTATTTTCCAATAGCATTTGTTTGGAAACTGATAATGTTGAATTTTACAAAAAATGTAATCAAAATAATAGAGAGAAACTATCTAAGAACTAAAAGAAAGTCGCTAAAGTGCAACTAAAGTAAACAAGGAAGTAGAAGGACAGTCTTTTCAGAAATATACTCGCGAAGCGCTACAACTTACGGCCATAACATAAAATAGTTATATGTAGAATTTTTATGCTGTAGCCCACAAGCAATCTTGAATAATCCAAATGGGGTATATTATTCTATATTTATGATCGTTTTTTTTATTATTTTTTATTATTATTTTTTTTGGTTATTCATTTTGCTGCTCAACTACTATGTATACATTGTGGCTAATTTTGTAAGGAGAGATTGGGCCCCAAATGTGAGGCATTACAGATACTTTTCTTCTTTGTTGTGGCTATTCTAAAAGAGAAAGAAAGGAACAACACAAATATTCCATTAAATTGAAAATGAAACAGCAAATGTATACAACACTTCCAAGAAGAGAATGTCTCCTGACAAAGAATGGAACCTTTTTCCTCATGTATATATATATACACACACACACACACACAATAATTCTTTCTTGAGCTCAATAATGATGTATTAAAGCAGCAAATAAATTATCTTTCCCTTTTTTCTAATCAACTTCAATCAGCCATGGCCTCTGGTGCAGACAAATCAACGGCTCTCGTCTTTCTAACAGCAAATGTTATCCTCTACTTCATAATCATCGTCTTTTCATCGTGGGCCGTCAATCATGGCATCGAACAATCTCGCTATACGGGTACATAAATTCTAATAAATTACATAAAGACCCCACATTAAGGAAATTCAAGCCTCAAAAGGGGTGTATTGTAATATTATTACATTCAAGAGTTGAATATGTTTATTTGCAATTCATCTAAACTTGAGGGGTACTTTCTCTAGTTGTCTCAAATCAGAAAAGTTTGTCATTTGATACTAACATATCCCTTTTTTACTCATTCTATTATCTTTTGCAGCATCTGTTCTTTCGCTACCGGCTCATATTTTCCCTATATATTTCCCATTCGGAAACATGGCTACTGGTTTTGTGGTCATTTTGTCGCTTATAGCTGGGGTTGTTGGATTTACGACATCAATTATCGGCATTTATAACGTGAAACAATGGAATGCTCCAAATTTACATGCAGCTGCTTCATCTTCTCTTGTGGCATGGTTACTCACACTTCTTGCTATGGGGTAGTAAATCTTTTGCTATTTTTTACTTCTTGGCCCTTCCTTCTTTGATGTAATTCGATTTCGGTCCCTCTTGTTCTGCTCTCATGAAAATCTAGTCCCCAACTCAAATTGGCAAGAATGAATCACTCTTCCTTTGATTTGTCATCTATTGATCACATTTTTAGTTTACATGTTACATAAAACTATAAAAGACATAACAACAAACTCTGTTTTGTGATGCAGGGTGGCCTGCAATGAGATATCTATAGGCTGGATAGAATCAAACTTAGTAAGTTTTCTTTTTTCTTTTTTTTTTTTTTTTGGTTCCNCCAATAATTCTACCAAATTAAACCTATATTTCAAAAGTTGTTAAGACTTCTCTTGAGAAATAACTATTTAATTTGATTTTCCTTTATTTTCTTTTTAATTTACACAGAGAATATTGGAGACAGCATTGATTCTTGTGAGTGGATCTCATCTATTCAGCACTGTTGCTATCCACATTGGTGTTGCTGATGTAGTTGCTTCAACCACTCCTATGATCATTTAATTTTTGTGAATAGAATAAATTAAAAGTGTGGACGAGATTTTGAATTGCTTGTAATTTTCTTGGTGAATATCATGTAATCAGTTGCAGCAGTTATATACACATTACTAACTTATCATGGTAAAAGTTTAAACTTATCTTCCTTATATAAAATTTGGAAAATGTGTTGTGTGCTTAAGACTTTCTCCACCCGTTCTGCGAAACGCAAAATTTACAGTATGGGTTGCTCCAGTCGATCCCCAAAACAGATTGCAAAATGTGATATCTCTCTCTCTCTCTCCTCGGTTGGACACATATTTGCGTCTGAACGCAAATTATTATGCATTCAATCTTTTATTTCTTTACATCTTAGTCCTTTAACTTTTATTAATTTGTAAAATGAATTTGTTTTCTTTTTAGTTTTCTTTACTTTTTAAATTGGCAAATGAGTTTAAAAAATACTAAAATAAATTTTTTTTTTACTTTCAAAAAAATTAGATAATATGATATCTAAAATAATAAGAATCATATTATTTTATATTTGTTCATAATAGAGTAAGTCCATTTTTCGCATTATTCGGAAAATTGGATACATAGAACCCTATTGGTTTTCTCTTCGTGACATACTAATTTTATATTTTTCACAATAATAGTAAAAAATACTAAATAAAATCTAATTTCGTGAAAATTAGACAGTATAATATTTAAAATAGTGAATATCATACTTATCCTTTAATTATATATATTTCACAATAATCGTGTTAAATATACATATTAATTATGGTAATTTTATTTAACTATAAAAGAAAACAAGAACATTCAATAACAGCATTATTAATATAGAATGAAGTAAGATTTAAATAACTAGTGTTGAAAACGAAAAACAACATCACACAATACTAAACATAAAAATACATCATAAACCCGTAAACTAAAAACAAGCACGAGAATTTAGTTGACACCGCTTCCTCCACGATCATTGAAAAATTGGTCAAATGTATTGATTGGGAATAGATCCGATTGGGCTTGTTGAACTCTTTTTTTCAAGATTCGTGCTTTTTCAATTTTAATATATGCTCGAACTCTAGGATCTTCTATGGAACTAACACCTTGAAACAAAATTTATTTTCTTCCCTCATTTCTTTTAGAGCGTGAGATCTGTTGTGCATTTTCAATTGGTGTTTTCATTTTGTTGTTTGTTCTTTTCATCTCCTCAAAAAGTTTTTTATCTTCTTTCTTCATAACATTGATTGCCATCTTTACCTAAAACATACTCTGTATAATCTAATTCATTTGTGATGTGCAAGCGTGGGTCCAACAATAAAATAAGCAAGTCTGATGAGTCAAATGGAAAGTGAAGACATAGTGAAATGAGAAATAGTCTGTACAGTTCCAATTCATGTTGTGGACGCGTGGATCATAAAATAAGGAAGTNAGATGAAGAGTGTTCAAAAATAATAAGCAAGAAATAATAAAACAACACCAAGAGACTGTGAATCCGAATAAAAAAAAAATATATTATAAACTCATAAGCATGAATGAAAATAGAGCCAGTTGCTTACAATCTCACTCAAGATAAAGATAGGTGGCAGTCGGTGTGCAGGGCCGCTCGCTCGAGCCAATCAGTGAGTTGTTGGGCCAATGCTTTCTAATTGCTTCTACTTAACTCAAAAGTAAGGTAAGGTTTGGGAGTTTGCTCGCTCATCTTCTCCAGCATAAAAAACAGACGCCCTTCTTCGAAAATGCCGAAGCAAATTCACTGATTCTGTTTTCACATGTAGAGTATTGGATGAATCTATATCTATCTATCTATTACTATCATAAAAGGAAGAGTGATTTTGTAAAAATAATGATCTGCCTAAAAAACCCTTACTTTGACATATTTTTAATGACAAATTAGTAATACAATAATATCCATCTTATTTTATATTTTTAATTAACAAATGAACTACCTAAAAAACCCTTACTTTAACTTATTTTTAGTGACAAATTAGTAATAAACTAATACTCATCATATCTTATATTTTTAACCAATAATTAATATTATACCATTATTCCTCACGAATTTGTTTCTTTTACATGTGTCAAAATGCTTCTTTCATATCTCCAAAAAATCAACCCATATAATTGATATTTTGAAAAATAACTTATTTATTATAATTTTAATGTAAAATAGTAATTACTTTAATTAATAACAAAAACTACTACATGAAATTAAGTTTTAAAAAAATTGCTATATTGCAATAAAAATACAACAGTCGGACATTCCACTGAAAATCGCAACGAATATTCATGGGTATATCGAATATATATATAATCTAACAAACTAAAAAAGTAGATTAATTCATTTAGCTACTTCGTTATTAAGAAAAATACACTCTTACATTTAGAAATTGCACCTTATATTTATTGAATTGAATTTTTATCTCACAAAAAACGTTATTTATTTGTTTGTCTGATTATTTTTTCCAATTTTTGTCACAAAGGCACTAAAGTTAACGAATTTTCACATGACCATTAGGTGAAGACCATATGACAGAACAATATAAAGTACAACAATATTAAATTTGTCAAATATTATAAAAAATATAAATAAGTTGTCATACTTACTAATAAATATGAAAAGAAGTAATAAATAAAAATGTTATAATTAATAAAAATAAACATAAAACTTTTAAAATTGTACTTATCGGTGCAAACGAACTGAATTGTTCAATGCTTGTTAATTTTTTTGTGCTTTAGTTTTATGTGTATGTTTTAGGTGATAGACAATAGTTATTTGTACTTTTATCCATGTATGTTAGAACTTTTATATTTTAAATTTTATTTATCGGTGCAAACGAACTGAATTGTTCAATGTTTGTCAATTTTTTGTGCTTTAGTTCTATGTGTAAGTTTTAGGTGATAGACAATAATTATTTGTACTTTTATCCATGTAGGTTAGAACTTTTATTTTTTAGAAAAAAAAATAATTATTTTAATTTTAAATAACCTTTTATTTTCTATTATTTTTTTGAATATAATATGTAAATATCATATTACATATATCAAATAATTATTATTATTATTATCTAATATTAAGAAATTTAACTCAATTGAGAGATTAATAGGTAATTTTGAGATAAAATAATGAGTGATTTTAAAAAATATATGAACTAAAAAGTTCATGTGTTAAATATATTTTTAATAGAAAAATTATAGATATTCCACTGAAAATTGCAATGAATATTTCATTGGAAAATTTCATTGTCTATTTCAATAGAGATCAAATTAAATTACATTGAAATTTTTGTTGATTTAATGATTATAATTACCATTACTTATTATTGTGTGAATTTCAGTTAGAATTTGTTTTCGGATCATATTTCAACTGTTGAAAAAAAAATGTAAACTTTTTAATCTTATAAACAGTATAAAAGTACAATTTTATCAAATATATATTACTATAAATAAATAAATAAATAATATTAAATTTTATTTTATCTTATGTGATTATAGTTGTAGCCTAATAAGTAAGTACTTTGATAACAACATAATTATATAAAATACGTAAAAAAATTAAACAATACATATAAATATGTCTTAATTCCTTTAATAAATAAAATATTATTTGTGAATACAGTAAGAAACACATAAAACAATAGTAAGGGAATGAGGAAAAAGAAGTCTGATTTTTTTAGAGAAAATGAATATCAACCTCTAGAAACAAAAGTCTTTTCTAACTACTACATTTTTTATTAATGACGTTTAAATTCTCATAAATATTGATCCTATATTATAAATTTTGAATTTTTAAATAATTAAAAAAATTTATAATACATAATGTATATTTTAATAATGACTTTGTGATAATAAAGTTCACAGATGGTGAAGAGTATTATAATACAATAGAAATTTAATTTTTCTCCTCTCTAATATTTTAACAAAGGATATGTTTCTCAATATTATCTCATTGTTTTTTTTTCATGTTCAAAGAATCAAAAAAAGATATTTATCATAAATTTTCGAAACATTTTGATTGATGCAAAAATTTAAACAATAAAAGCGTCTGAAATCATTGGAATAACCAAGATCCTCAATGATTTGTAAACAACATATTATATAGTTCGTCTATCTTCTAAATAAATAACATTGAAAAGGAAATGTCAGGGCATGATCAACATATTATTGAATTTTTGAATGATGTTATCATATTTTGATAGAAATATTTACAATTCCCATTAGTGTATTGTGCTCGAACATATGTGCAATTACTCTAGAGTATATACTTTCATGGAATGTATGATGATTTCAAAAAATAATTTAGTTTTCACGTAATGTATGATGATTTAAAAAAATAATTTAGTGTCTTAGAAGAAGTATATGTAACCAAGATTTTGAAATGTCAACTTTTATTTGGAAATGAAACTCATTCTCACCCGGTGGGGCGAAGCCTCCATGTGGGAGGTGTCAATTTGTCTATATGAAGAGAGAATAAATGAAGTAGTTTAAAAAAAATATATCAACAATTTTAATGACACTGTTGATTATTTCACTGAGGTATTCATTAATTGTTATTAACAATACCTTATAAAGATCATAATCATAGAGTTCGACTATATGTTTAGTCAAAATATTTTGCATTGTTTGAATAAAGTAGACTTTTTGCCAAATGAATTAAGAAGAATTTACCTATTGATGTATAGAACTCGAATGGGTACGTATGTTTTTTTATGAGAACGTCTCAAAACTAAAATGAAAGAAAATTACTCTTGAATCATCAAACATAAATAAATAAAAGAACTAATACATTTATATTATAAATTATGTCTTTATTTTGTTGTTTAGTGTCTTTTTTTAAAAAAAAAAAAATTATTGACTCATTTTGTATATATTTTTGCTGGTTGTAATATGTTATTTTATTCTGTTTATATTAGTACATCGTTATGTTATTTTTGAAAAAATAAATACATTAGGACCTCATTTGTTCTACATTTTATTTTGTTCTTGCAATTATATGTTTAATAATTTAATTAATTTATTTTACTAAACTTAATCGACAAAAAACATTCGTTACCACGTGCGACGCACGTGCACTTTACTAGTTAATAAAAATAATTGCCCCTCATTTTTGTTTATTTCAATGAAACAAGCTAATAAGGTAAATAAATAAGTTGTAAGAAAATTCATATGAACGTAAAACATAAGTAAGTATGAACACTATTATTTACAAAATTATATAATTATGTGTAAGTTGAATATTACATTTATATAAATCCTTATAATTTTGTGGAGAAAATTAACTCTCCTTTATTTTAATGTAATTTTATTGAATAACAATTTATATTATTTTACACTTTGTTACTTAATTAAATGATTTTTTATTCAATGAGTTGTCAATTTTTTAGAATATATAGTGATTATAATTTATAATATATAAACTATAANAAATAGAGAATTATATCTATAATTAGGCCCATCATGTATTGGGCAGAGTGTATATTAATCATCTCCATATCAAACGCAATCCCCTCTATATATAATTTCAGAATGCGCTGAGCCTACATGGCAAACTCTCATGTTTCGGAATCTTATTTGTCTAAAAATCATGCTTTGGAGTTAGGCTTGGATATAAATTAATATTTGTATTAATTGTATTTTAATATCATTTCCTATTATAACCATTAAATTGCAAATATATTTTAAAAGTTGATAACTTTTGTATTTCTTATCGGTTTTACATATATAATATATCAAATTAATCATCTTTAGATGAGCTTCGATTTGACATCCATATTGTATATATAAAATAAATAAATTATATATCATTATAATAATAATAAAATTATTTATTAAAATTAATTAAAAAATAAAATTATTTATCAATTAATATATTTATGTTTAATGTTGTTATATATTATAAGGTAGAAAATTTATTATAATATAACACATATAAGTCGCACAAGTAACATGTGTCATACTAAAATATATAATAATATATACTCCATCCTATTTTTATTATTTGTCACTTTGACTTAATTGATCATTGATAAAATAAATGTCGTTCTTTTTAGATATTTTGTTCATATTTTTCCATTTTTAACCCTCCATCTAATACACAGTGTCTCTTCATATCACATCTCCATCGTTTTCCATGACATCCATTAAATAGGGTTAATATTGTCAAGAAAAAAATCTTATTTAGTGTGTTGCAATTGATCAATTGATATTATGAAGTCCGTTTGTATTTTACTATATATATATATATATATATATATATATATATATGTATATATATGTATATAAAATACAAAACAGTAATATATATCCTTATAAACAAAATTTAAATTTATATATCAAACTAAATTAAATTATATCTAATAAAACTATAAATTATATTATAAAGTAATAAAAATTGGTATGTATTCTTTTAAATATGATATTTATTTCAAACCTAATTGTTATGTTGTCAATGTAATAAAATAAATAATTATTTATATAAATTCTAAAATTACATATAACGTTAAAAAACTTCGAAGCACGACTGATATGTCACTTGATGTATTAGGCATCTAATTAAGTAAAAGAAATTAATCTATTTTGCTTAATATTAAATAAACATATTCTACACTTATGCATATACATATCACCATATTATTTCTATTTATTTAAGACATATATTTTTGTACTTATGTAATAGTAAATAATATCAATATTTTTATATGATATAAGTAAAAAAATTCGACACGGGGTGACATTTTTATATGATATAAGTAAAAAATTCGACACGGGGTGACATTTTCATTTAATGTACGGTTGTTTAATTATTATTATTAAAAAAATATAATTTGACAATATAATTAAAACCAAAAGTAATGTTTTATATAAAATTAAATTATTTTAGTTTTAAAAAAATAAAAAATTTAATATTTTTTACAAAAGTTTTCTAATTCAACACCCGTGTAATACACGGGTATTGTACTAGTGATTATTATTATGAAAGAATGAGCCCCGGTGGACGACATATCAAAGGTTTATTTTCTTAAATACAAAATCAATTTTTTATTATCATTCTTATGTTTTTCTATCCACTCCTACGACCATGGATTGGACCGGTGATGGGCGGCCTTCTCCTTCGGGCTCCGCCTTCTGGCCGTGGGTGGTTCTGACGCCAGCAGAGTGTGTGCATTTCGGCAACATAAGAATCACTGCCAACGTCGCACTCTCTTCGAGATTGTCTCCCTCTTCGGCTCCCTTCTCCCGCCGCCGGCAATGTCTGCCGCCTCCAGGTATGGGTTGGTGATTTAGGGTTTCGCAAATTTTGAATTCATTTTTTGTTGTGGATTTAAGATCTGAAAAATTGAAGATAAGAATTCCAGCGGCGCCATGGTCTGTTTGAGAGCTCTTGTTGGATCACTCTTGAATAATTTTTTAAAAAATTTATTTGAAAGTAGATTGTTAAGATTAATTTGATTTTTATCTTGAGTTGATTTTAGTTAAATAATTTTTAACTAATATATGAAGCATGGGATAAGTTTTTGTGTTGTTAATTGAGAGTCTGCCCACATTCCTGATTTATGAAAATGCTTATGGGCTCATTCACTTTATTCAGATGGTATCCCGTGAGTCGCCAAAGCAGAAGTGCAATCGACGCTTTTTGACTACTTGCACTGGCGTGGGTATGAGCTTGTTGGACGCTGAGCACATCAACGAAAATTCGCCTAATTTGTGGTGAAGCTGATTGCAAAGGTCGAGAAAATGGGAGCTTGTGCTGGTGTTATCAACGAGGAGAAAACAAACGTAGCCCGAACGAGTAGCCAAGTGAAAGCAAAAGAAGGGAGCTAAGCCAGCCAGTGATCCATAGGCCTTTGTCCGAACCCTAGGATTTAGAGACTTTTGGTGAAGCTACATTCGGACTGTTCGCTTTGCCATCGCTCTAACTCTATTGACTTGAGACTAGGTTGAGGGAGTCAATCAATTGACCTTGTACCTCGTCCCACGAGTACACTAACGAGAGAGGAAACCTTACTCTGCTGAGCTATTCGGATTTAGAGGGACTTTTGTTATCTTGTTTTGAAGGGGTAGTTTTTCGGACGTTTTCTAGGATCAGAGGGAAGCTGCTAACCTTAGACTCAGGATTTGAAGAGATGGGCTGGCGGTAGGGCTTCGCTCCCTTTACTGCTCAAGGAGAAGAGAGGTGAAAATGGGGATTTGAAGGTCGAAAAAAGTGATGGGTTGCGTTTCCTTTTTTTCGATGGCTCCTTTATAAAAAAAANTGATTCATGTATACTGATTGCGTTCTAAGTTCAACATACAAATAAAATGCATATATTGAAAATTAAATGTCTGACCCAACGTGCAACAACAATCGGGCCAAGAAAATATATACATTCGGCTGAAATACATTATTTACACAACCCAATAAAATTAATAGATTTATTCATAAACAATTTTTTTTTTCGGAACGATAGAGATATTATACCAAACCTCAAAAGAGAACAAAGTTCTAATACAAACACGACCCACAGCCGAAAAAGAAAATTGAGAGGACACGCTATAGAGCGGCCTAGAAATCCCACAGACGGGATATGACCCCAACAGGGTAAACACTAGAACACTAATGGTTTATATAATTTTTAAAAATTTTTGTGAAAGCAGTTTTGACAGGGATAATTTGATGTTTATCTTGAGTTGATTTGTATGATTGATTGTATTTTTTTGTCTTATATATTGTTTATATTCTGCTTATTTTTTGCATTTCTTTGTCTATTTAGTTTTTTATGATTTAGTAAAAATCTAGATAATAAATTTAACATTAACCATAAATTTAAATTAGTTTTTAATAAAGTGTAAAGATAATGTAATAAATTTAAGACAAACTTAAAATGATCTAAAAGAATTTATAAAAGTTAATGATTGTGTGTTTCAACAGGCGCTGTTACGTAAGTGGAATCAGTGAATACGTAAGTGGAATTAGTTGCTGGGATACATAAGTGGAATTAGTTTATAAGTCTTGTGGTCTGGGATAAGTTTTTTGAAAAGAACATACATGTGTCTTTTTCCCTATTATTATTTGTATTATTAATTGTTCCAACTAATGGCCCAAGAATTATGCCACTTTGAATTGGGCACACATATTAAAACTACATACTCAATGGGAATAGAAATAAAGATAGGTTGGTAGGTTCACCTCTATTTTAGAAAGTTTTGTTCATTTTAATTGTTAGGTATTTAATTTTTTTATTTTTTTTTTGCAATTAATGTTGGTGGAAAACCGGTCTATATATTGATTTAAATGCCTTGGGGTTCTTTGGAAAAAAAAAATAGAGAATTATATCTATAATTAGGCCCATCATGTATTGGGCAGGAGTGTATCATAATCATCTCCATATCAAAGGCAATCCCCTCGATATATAATTTCAGAATGCGCTGAGCCTACATGGCAAATTCTCATGTTTTGGAATCTTATTTGTCTAAAAATCATGCTTTGGAGTTAGGCTTGGATATAAGTTAATATTTGTATTAATTGTATTTTAATATCATTTCCTATTATAACCATTGAATTGCAAATATATTTTAAAAGTTGATAACTTTTGTATTTCTTATCGGTTTTACATATATAATATATCAAATTAATTATGTTTTGATGAGCTTCGATTTGACATCCATATTGTATATATAAAATAAATAAATTATATATCTTTATAATAATAATAAAATTATTTATTAAAATTAATTAGAAAATAAAATTATTTATCAATTAATATATTTATGTTTAATGTTGTTATATATTATAAGGTAGAAAATTTATTATAATATAACACATATAAGTCGCACAAGTAACATGTGTCATACTAAAATATATAATAATATATACTCCATCCTATTTTTATTATTTGTCACTTTGACTTAATTGATCATTGATAAAATAAATGTTTTAAATTATTACAATATAAAGAATGCAGTATAATGAAATTAGTATTTAGTTATGATTAATTTATTTATTAAAATTTAAAATATATTTAATTAACACATATATAAAGAACATTTGCTTTTGAATTACAAAATTTTATGGGCAACCGTATATTATATCCGGATATTTCAATTACTTATTTGTCTGGGCATTGATATTAAATATGTTCTAGATAAGTTCATATTACCTTAAGTGTGTTATTAAGTAAGACAACTATTTCATGAATATTTATGATTGTGCATATAAACATTTGAGAATATTTTTGTGGCTTAATAAATAGAGATAGGATAAAGAATATTATTCATGGTAGACATGTTACTTAAGTGCCTTATTAAATAAGAAAATTATTTCATGAATAATATGATTGTGCATATAAGCATTTGAGAAAATTTTTGTGACTTAATAAATAGAGAATAAGATAAAAAATACTATTCATGATAGATTAATTAGTAACTATAACTACAAAATAAATAAGATAATGTATTATGTCAGAATAAGTTAACTTATTGGGTTATCATTCGACGTGTGATTAATAGTATGCGATGAATCATCAATTACGAAAAAACAGACATGTGGTTATTTTTTATAGATCAAGAAAATATCTATCTCTGTACTAATATAAAAGGAGGAATGATTTTGTAAAAAAATGCACGGATTAAAAAAGTCCTTATATTTATATTATTTTTAATGAAAAAACTGTAATAACTATTAAGTATCTCAATGAATATAATCACGATTTAATATTTCAATAAAATAGGATTCTAACAAGGACAAAACTCTGTAAAAATTAAAACCTAAACAAAATAGATTTAAATAGGTAAAAAAAATATTAACTTATCAATAAATAAAAAATTAATAAAGGAGATGCAAACTATTTCAATAAGATTTAATTGAATTAAAATATATTCCAAAATATATGTGGAACCAATAAAAATGTAGGGGAAGTACTATCCTCAATTTTACAACATACATTATTAAGTATGAAGTACTATAGTATAAAGTTGTTACAATTTTAAATTTATAATGTTTTCATATTACTAATTACATAACTACATGTCATAATAAACAAATTTGATATAACATAATTATATAAAATTTACATGAAACAAATAACATGACATATTAAACTACTCAAATATCTTATTCGAAAAAATAGAGTATCAAGTAGGATAGATAAAATAAATAAATAAATAAATAAACCACATGATATAATATATGTATTTGGACATGAATTTATGGACATAATAGTAATTATTAAAATATAAAAATCATACTATTATTCTATTTTTTTTTCATATATAGATTTAGTTGCTAGAATTAAATATTTCAAGTCAATAATAAATTGATTAGAAAAAATAATAATGTTAACTAATATATATCTTTTTTATTTTACTAAGAATCTATAAATTGTGTACTACATATTTTAGTTAAAAAGTGCCCTTTATTAAACTAAAGTTGAACAACTATTTTAAATAATATTTTTTTTTCAAAAAAGTTAATTTATAAAAAACCAACAAAACCTTATAAACATAAATATATTAATAAAAGTTACACTATAACAATGAATATCATCTAAAAAAAATTAATGCGATGACATATCGCCAAATAGATAAATGTTGATTGCTTAATATATCTTTTCTATTTGATATATTTATAATAGTTGGTGAAGCCTACCATCCATTCCTTGATTTTTGACTTCACTGCGCTTCGAAAAGTTTGTACACTTCGCTTCGCTTCGTTTTTAGAGTCTCACTTTAGTTACCTCGTCCCATTCACTACAAGGCATCCGTCTTCCTAACTTCATCAATCTTGTCCCTCCGAAGCCTTGTTCTATCAAAACGATTGCTAGAAGAGTCGATCACCAAACCCTTACATAACCATAACATAGGTGGCTTAACAACATTTTCATATAAAAGATATAAAAGTATAATCTTTTAGTAAAATTAAAAGTATGAATTATAATATAAAACAAATAAAACATAAATACACTTTTTCAACTTTTTCTCTCTCTAAAAAACTCGATCCCCAATTCCTCTCCACTCTCGCCGATAAGAAGCTGTAATCGTCGCCTTCCTCTCGGCCTTCTGCCTCGCTGGTAGTTATTCCCTCGCCGCCCGGCCCTTCCCTGATGCTGCGATTCGGCTCGCCATGTGTACCGAGGGTTTGTGGTCGCCAATTTTAATTCGCCTCTCTTGCAGGTGGGTTAGGGTTTCCGAGCGCAGGCCAAATCGGTGTGGTGGAGGGTCCATGGGTCGCAGTGCGATGGGTTAGGGTCGGGTGCGGCTCTGGCTGACCGTCTTCTTGGGTCGGAGCGTCATGGGCATCTCAGGCGGCCTCTCTCTGAACTCACCTTCGACGGCTTGAACGGACTCCTTGGTTCGTTTTTCCGGTCGCCATGGTGTGCTGTCGGTCTGCATTGTTCCTTTTCGCCGGCGGAAGGGTGGTGGTAGGTAGCGAGCTTCTGGTTGACGACTTGGTTTCGCCGGTCTCGATCGAGGGTGAGTTTCCTTTTCTTGCCTTTCATGTCTCGGTTTTCTTTTGCCTGCGACTGGCGATGTTCTGTGCTTTCTCTGTTCTCTCCGGTGTTTGGTGGCGCTATACGGCTGCGGCTTAATGTGGGGAGGCCGGGTTTGGTGCATTCGGTTCGGGGTTGGGTTCCTTTGTGGCTGAGGCGTCTCTGTGCCTTCGGGATGGTTGGGCAGGAGCTGAGGCGTTGAGTAAGCTTCGTTTTGGTTTTAGGACCTTTTGTATTAGTCTGTTTCTTTGTTGTGTTCTTGTGTTTTTTGTTTGGGCCATTTGGCCTCTGTGAGCCCGAGTGTAAACTTATTATCCTGTTGGGATCCTACACTCGGGTATTATCCTGTTGGGATCTTTTTAGTTGTTTTAGTTTTTGGATGTGTTAGTTGGTGTAGTATACTTGCGAGTTTGGTATTCTAGCGTTGCTAGACGTTTCTAGGCGATCTTTGGATCAGCCTCTCAGTTTTTAGCCTCTGGTTGTACTATTCAGCTTTTGACTGCTTTCTTTTCGCACTTTGTGCGGTTTTATTAATATAGTACCTCTATCGTTTCGAAAAAAAAATAATTTATATTCTTGAAATTAACTCCTTAATTTCAAGAACCCACAAATCATGGTAACACCAGTCAAAACAAAATCGGTGAAGCCAGAACACATTTCTAATGTGGCCAAAGATCAAAACCATACAACGAAAACAATAATTTCACGTGTGTGAATGAGTTATGGAACAAAAGTAGCAAGGATATGAAGAGCACTTGTAATTTTAGAAACCTTCAACAATTTGTTGGAAGAGTCTTAAGACTCAAAGGTATTTTTCTAGAAAATTCTTAGTTCTCTTCCTCATTCGTGTGAAAAGAATAACGGCACAAGCTAAAACCCACGGAGGAATGCGACCACCTGAGAAGTTGAACGTTTTGGCCCATTCCGGAGTCTCTTTGAGAACCATAACAATCATGAAGGTTATTAGTGCTACCCCTAGTAATATCTTAGTAATGGGCTTCAGCATCGAGTCCTGCAATTTTACAAGCATACATTAAGTCCAAAAAGTAATCTCAAGTTCTAAATGAGTTAACGCACAAAGCATAACTCAAAATCTGTAATAACTGGCTCTGAAGTTGTATACTATCAATACCAAATTTAAGGTGCCTCGGTAAAAAAAACTTTGTTGAGCAAAGGCATCAGGGAAAAATGCCTTTCGTCAATAGGCAGCATTAGGAAACTACTAAGGAACATGACGATGCACAAGAGTCGATGACGTCCTTACATATTTATAATAGACAGTCAGTTACCTTGATTAAATAGTTAAAACTTTCACAGGTTCCAGTCTGAAGATTGTACAGATGTAGAAAATATCACATGTAATTGCCACATAATGCATCATCAAGTGAGGAAAAAAA